GCCGTGGCACATCACAGACAGGCTTGCGGCCTCTTTTGTTGGCGCATTCCTCACGCTGACCTCACGCTCACCCCCCTGGGGAGTTGCTGTTCCGCTGCCGCTATGATGTCACCTGGAGCCCTGAATTCCTCGCATCGCAAGAATAGCTCCCTCGCTCGCCCTCCGCGTCATCTGGCATCTCTCAGAGTGTTGGGCAGTTCACGATGGCCACGTCGGAGACACTGAGAGCCTGGGTTCAAGCCCTGGGTCTGGGTGTCTCTCTCTCTCTCAGGGGGTTCACGATGGCCGTGTCAGAGACACTGAGAGTCTGGGTTCAAGCCCTGCGTCTGGGTGTTTCTCTCTCTCTCAGGGGGTTCACGATGGCCGTGTCAGAGACACTGAGAGTCTGGGTTCAAGCCCTGGGTCTGGGTGTCTCTCTCTCTCTCAGGGGGTTCACGATGGCCGTGTCAGAGATACTGAGAGCCTGGGTTCAAGCCCTGGGTCTGGGTGTCTCTCTCTCTATCAGGGAGTTCACGATGGCCGTGTCAGAGACACTGAGAGCCTGGGTTCAAGCCCTGGGTCTGGGTGTCTCTCCCTCGGGGTTCACGATGGCCGTGTCAGAGATACTGAGAGCCTGGGTTCAAGCCCTGGGTCTGGGTGTCTCTCTCTCTCTCAGGGGGTTCATAGTGGCCATGTCAGAGATACTGAGAGCCGGGGTTCAAGCCCTGGGTCTGGGTGTCTCTCTCTCTCTCGGGGTTCACGATGGCCGTGTCAGAGACACTGAGAGTCTGGGTTCAAGCCCTGGGTCTGGGTGTCTCTCCCTCAGGGGGTTCACGATGGCCGTGTCAGAGACACTGAGAGCCTGGGTTCAAGCCCTGGGTCTGGGTGTCTCTCTCTCTCAGGGGGTTCACGATGGCCGTGTCAGAGACACTGAGAGCCTGGGTTCAAGCCCTGGGTCTGGGTGTCTCTCTCTCTCTCTCAGGGGGTTCACGATGGCCGTGTCAGAGACACTGAGAGCCTGGGTTCAAGCCCTGGGTCTGGGTGTCTCTCTCTCTCAGGAGGTTCACGATGGCCGCGTCAGAGACACTGAGAGCCTGGGTTCAAGCCCTGGGTCTGGGTGTCTCTCTCTCTCAGGGGGTTCACGATGGCCGTGTCAGAGACACTGAGAGTCTGGGTTCAAGCCCTGGGTCTGGGTCTCTCTCTCAGGGGGTTCACGATGGCCACGTCAGAGATACTGAGAGCCTGGGTTCAAGCCCTGGGTCTGGGTGTCTCTCTCAGGGGGTTCACGATGGCCACGTCGGAGACACTGAGAGCCTGGGTTCAAGCCCTGGGTCTGGGTGTCTCTCTCTCTCAGGGGGTTCACGATGGCCGTGTCAGAGACACTGAGAGTCTGGGTTCAAGCCCTGGGTCTGGGTGTCTCTCTCTCTCGGGGTTCACGATGGCCGTGTCAGAGACACTGAGAGTCTGAGTTCAAGCCCTGGGTCTGGGTGTCTCTCTCTCAGGGGGTTCACGATGGCCGTGTCAGAGACACTGAGACCTGGGTTCAAGCCCTGGGTCTGGGTGTCTCTCTCTCTCAGGGGGTTCACGATGGCCGTGTCAGAGACACTGAGACCTGGGTTCGAGGCTTGGGTGTGTGAGTGTGTCTCAGATAATTATTAACGCGGCTTTGGTAAAAATGTGTTTGTGCTGGCTGTGGTGGTTATCGTTGTAGTCTTGCGGGTGGTGGTGCAGGATAGTGGTGGTGGTTGTTGTGGTGGTGGTGGCTGTTGTGGTGGTGCAGGGTCGTGGTGGAGGGGAGGCCGTTGTGATGCCCTACAGGGTCATGTGGTGGTGTTGGTGGTGGTTTGTGTGGTGGTTTAATCTTTTTGTGGTGGGAATGTGGTAGTGGTAGTTGTTGTGGCGGTGCTGGTGGTGGTGGCGAGTGTGGCTGTGTGCGAGGGAGTCATGGTGGTGGTGGTAATGTTGTTGTGGTTGTTGCAGGGTGGTGGTGGTAATGTTGTGGTTGTTGTTGCAGGGTGGTGGTGGTGGTGGTAATGTTGTTGTTGCAGGGTGAGGGTGGTGGTGGTGGTGGTGGAGGAGGCGATAGTTGCTGTGTGCGAGAGAGTCGTGGTGGTGGTGGTGGTGGTAATGTTGTTGTTGCAGGGTGGTGGTGGTAAAGGTAATGTTGTTACAGGGTGGTGGTGGTGGTGGTAATGTTGTTGTTGTTGTAGGGTGGTGGTGGTTGAAGAGGCGAGCGTTGCTGTGTGCGAGGGAGTCGTGGTGGTAATGTTGTTGTTGCAGGGTGGTGGTGGTGGTGGTAATGTTGTCGTTGTTGTTGCAGGGTGGTGGTGGTTGAAGAGGCGAGTGTTGCTGTGTGCGAGGGAGTCGTGGTGGTAATGTTGTTGTTGCAGGGTGGTGGTGGTAATGTTGTTGTTGTGGTAATGTTGTTGCAGGGTGGTGGTGGTTGAAGAGGCGAGTGTTGCTGTGTGCGAGGGAGTCGTGGTGGTGGTGGTGGTGGTAATGTTGTTGTGGTTGTTGTTGCAGGGTGGTGGTGGTAATGTTGTTGTTGTTGTTGCAGGGTGGTGGTGGTTGAAGAGGCGAGTGTTTCTGTGTGCGAGGGAGTCGTGGTTGTGGTGGTGGTGGTAATGTTGTTGTGGTTGTTGTTGCAGGGTGGTGGTGGTAATGTTGTTGTGGTGGTTGTTGTTGCAGGGTGGTGGTGGTTGAAGAGGCGAGTGTTGCTGTGTGCGAGGGAGTTGTGGTGGTGGTGGTGGTGGTAATGTTGTTGTTGTGGTGGTTGTTGTTGCAGGGTGGTGGTGGTTGAAGAGGCGAGTGTTGCTGTGTGCGAGGGAGTTGTGGTGGTGGTGGTGGTGGTAATGTTGTTGTTGTGGTGGTTGTTGTTGCAGGGTGGTGGTGGTGGAAGAGGCGAGTGTTGCTGTGTGCGAGGGAGTCGTGGTGGTGGTGGTGGTGGTAATGTTGTTGTGGTTGTTGTTGCAGGGTGGTGGTGGTAATGTTGTTGTGGTTGTTGTTGCAGGGTGGTGGTGGTAATGTTGTTGTTGTGGTGGTTGTTGTGGTTGTTGCAGGGTGGTGGTGGTGGTGGTGGTAATGTTGTTGTGGTTGTTGTTGCAGGGTGGTGGTGGTGGAAGAGGCGAGTGTTGCTGTGTGCGAGGGAGTCGTGGTGGTAATGTTGTTGTTGCAGGGTGGTGGTGGTGGTGGTGGTAATGTTGTTGTTGTTGTTGTTGCAGGGTGGTGGTGGTTGAAGAGGCGAGTGTTGCTGTGTGCGAGGGAGTCGTGGTGGTAATGTTGTTGTTGCAGGGTGGTGGTGGTGGTGGTAATGTTGTTGTGGTTGTTGTTGCAGGGTGGTGGTGGTTGAAGAGGCGAGTGTTGCTGTGTGCGAGGGAGTCGTGGTGGTAATGTTGTTGTTGCAGGGTGGTGGTGGTGGTGGTGGTAATGTTGTTGTTGTTGTTGCAGGGTGGTGGTGGTGGAAGAGGCGAGTGTTGCTGTGTGCGAGGGAGTTGTGGTGGTGGTGGTGGTGATAATGTTGTTGTTGCAGGGTGGTGGTGGTGGTAATGTTGTTGTTGTTGTTGCAGGGTGGTGGTGGTTGAAGAGGCGAGTGTTGCTGTGTGCGAGGGAGTCGTGGTGGTAATGTTGTTGTTGCAGGGTGGTGGTGGTAATGTTGTTGTGGTAATGTTGTTGCAGGGTGGTGGTGGTTGAAGAGGCGAGTGTTGCTGTGTGCGAGGGAGTCGTGGTGGTGGTGGTGGTGGTAATGTTGTTGTTGTGGTTGTTGTTGCAGGGTGGTGGTGGTTGAAGAGGCGAGTGTTGCTGTGTGCGAGGGAGTCGTGGTGGTAATGTTGTTGTTGCAGGGTGGTGGTGGTGGTGGTAATGTTGTTGTTGTGGTGGTTGTTGTTGCAGGGTGGTGGTGGTTGAAGAGGCGAGTGTTGCTGTGTGCGAGGGAGTCGTGGTGGTAATGTTGTTGTTGCAGGGTGGTGGTGGTGGTGGTGGTAATGTTGTTGTTGTTGCAGGGTGGTGGTGGTTGAAGAGGCGAGTGTTGCTGTGTGCGAGGGAGTCGTGGTGGTAATGTTGTTGTTGCAGGGTGGTGGTGGTGGTGGTAATGTTGTTGTGGTTGTTGTTGCAGGGTGGTGGTGGTTGAAGAGGCGAGTGTTGCTGTGTGCGAGGGAGTTGTGGTGGTGGTGGTGGTGGTAATGTTGTTGTTGCAGGGTGGTGGTGGTGGTGGTGGTAATGTTGTTGTTGTTGCAGGGTGGTGGTGGTGGAAGAGGCGAGTGTTGCTGTGTGCGAGGGAGTCGTGGTGGTAATGTTGTTGTTGCAGGGTGGTGGTGGTGGTGGTGGTAATGTTGTTGTGGTGGTTGTTGTTGCAGGGTGGTGGTGGTTGAAGAGGCGAGTGTTGCTGTGTGCGAGGGAGTCGTGGTGGTGGTGGTGGTGGTAATGTTGTTGTTGCAGGGTGGTGGTGGTGGTAATGTTGTTGTTGTTGTTGTTGCAGGGTGGTGGTGGTGGAAGAGGCGAGTGTTGCTGTGTGCGAGGGAGTCGTGGTGGTGGTGGTGGTGGTAATGTTGTTGTTGTGGTGGTTGTTGTTGCAGGGTGGTGGTGGTTGAAGAGGCGAGTGTTGCTGTGTGCGAGGGAGTCGTGGTGGTGGTGGTGGTGGTAATGTTGTTGTGGTTGTTGTTGTTGTGGTTGTTGTTGCAGGGTGGTGGTGGTTGAAGAGGCGAGTGTTGCTGTGTGCGAGGGAGTCGTGGTGGTAATGTTGTTGTTGCAGGGTGGTGGTGGTAATGTTGTTGTTGTGGTGGTTGTTGTTGCAGGGTGGTGGTGGTGGTGGTAATGTTGTTGTTGTTGCAGGGTGGTGGTGGTTGAAGAGGCGAGTGTTGCTGTGTGCGAGGGAGTCGTGGTGGTGGTGGTGGTGGTAATGTTGTTGTGGTTGTTGTTGTTGTTGCAGGGTGGTGGTGGTTGAAGAGGCGAGTGTTGCTGTGTGCGAGGGAGTCGTGGTGGTGGTGGTGGTGGTAATGTTGTTGTGGTTGTTGTTGTTGTTGCAGGGTGGTGGTGGTTGAAGAGGCGAGTGTTGCTGTGTGCGAGGGAGTTGAGTTTGGACGTCGCTCGTTCCGTGGCTTCAACCCCGAGGTGGAGGTATGGACGACAGCAACAACAACCACACAACAACAATAACACAACAACACCACAACAACACAACAACAACAACAACAGAACAACAACACAACAACAACCACACAACAACCACAGAACAACAATAACACAACAACACAACCACAACAACAACACAACACCACAACAACAACAACACAACAACCACAGAACAATAACAACACAACAAGACCACAACAACAACCACACAACAACACCACAACAACAACCACACAACAACACCACAACAACAACCACAGAACAACAATAACACAACACCACAACAACACAACAACACCCACACAACAACAACCAGACAACAACACAACAACAACAACCACACAACAACAACACACCGACAACCACAGAACAACACCACAACAACAACCACAGAACAACACAACAACACCACAACAACAACCACACAACACCACAACAACAATCACAGAACAACACCACAACAACCACAGAACAACAACAACACAACACCACAACAACAACACATCAACAACCACACAACAACAACCACAGAACAACAACAACCACAGAACAACAACAACCACACAACAACCACATTAAGAACCACAACATCAACCAGACTAGCAACCAAAAAATAACAACAACCAGACAACCACAATAACAACACACCAGCCAAACAACAACCATGGAACATCACAACAACAACCACCACAACAATCTCAACAACACCATAACAACAACACAACCAGACAACAACCTCAAACAACAATCCAACTACAACAACCAGACAACAATAACAACAACCACATAACAATCATTGTCAAGGTCTAGGATCGAACCCACGACCTCCTGCGTACCAGGCGAGGTGGTCAACATCTCCTAGCCACCGTGGTGTCAGGGTCTGGGGTCGAACCCACGACCTCCTGCGTACCAGGCGAGGTGGTCAACATCTCATAGCCACCGTGGTGTCAGGGTCTGGGGTCGAACCCCCGACCTCCTGCGTACCAGGCGAGGTAGTCAACATCTCATAGCCACCGTGGTGTCAGGGTCTGGGATCGAACCCACGACCTCCTGCGTACCAGGCGAGGTGGTCAACATCTCATAGCCACTGTTGTGTCAGGGTGTGGGATCGAACCCACGACCTCCTGCGTCACTCTCTGTCTCTCTGTCTCTCTCCCTGTCTCTCTGTCTCTCTCCCGTGTCTCTGTCTCTCTCCCTGTCTCTCTCCCTGTCTCTCTGTCTCTCTCCCTGTCTCTCTGTCTCTCTCCCTGTCTCTCTGTCTCTCTCCCTGTCTCTCTCCCTGTCTCTCTTCTCGTCTCTCTGTCTCTCTCCCTGTCTCTCTGTCTCTCTCCCTGTCTCTCTGGCTCTCGCGTACCAGGCGAGGTAGTCAACATCTCCTAGCCACCGTGGTGTCAGGATGTGGGATCGAACCCACGACCTCCTGCGTACCAGGCGAGGTAGTCAACATCTCCTAGCCACCGTGATGTCAGGGTGTGGGATCGAACCCACGACCTCCTGCGTACCATGCGAGGTAGTCAACATCTCCTAGCCACCGTGGTGTCAGGGTGTGGGATCGAACCCACGACCTCCTGCGTACCAGGCGAGGTGGTCAACATCTCATAGCCACTGTTGTGTCAGGGTCTGGGATCGAACCCACGACCTCCTGCGTACCAGGCGAGGTAGTCAACATCTAGCCACTGTGGTGTCAGGGTCTGGGATCGAACCCACAACCTCCTGCGTACCAGGCGAGGTGGTCAACATCTCCTAGCCACCGTGATGTCAGGGTGTGGGATCGAACCCACGACCTCCTGTGTACCAAGCGAGGTAGTCAACATCTCATAGCCACCGTGGTGTCAGGGTCTGGGATCGAACCCACGAGCTCCTGCGTACCAGGCGAGGTAGTCAACATCTCATAGCCATACCCCTCTGCTACCAACAGCAGCACTTGCCCCCCTACCGCCACCCGCGCAGGCTGCGTGAGCTACCTGGGGCGCCTGCGGCTGTGCCTGTGTCCGCGCGCAGAAGCTGTGCTCGCTGCTGGAGCTGAGCAGGAGAGGGGGGGGGCAGGGGGGGGAGCGGGGGGGGGAGCGGAGGGGGGGCGACGAGGGCAAGGACGTGAGCGACGAGGAGATGGCGCGCAGGTGAGCACCTCGTCACACACACACACACCTCGTCACACACACAGACACACACACACACAGACACACACACAGACACACACACAGACACACACACAGACACACACAGACACACACACACCTCGTCACACACACAGACACACACACACAGACACACACAGACACACACACAGACACAAAGACAAAGACAAAGATCCCCCGTATAGCCTTAACAGACTGTAGGGGCAAGTGCTGTTAGCGAGCACCTATGAAGGCCGGAACGGTACACGAGGGGGTGGGTGGCCAGCACCACGCCCGACCGCCTTTGTCTCCCTAGTGACGATGTTTACACACCGCACCAGGTACTCATTTGAGGCTGAGTCGACCTAGGGGAGGCCCGGGACCGGTTCAGATAATCGTCACTGGTGTTGGCCGTGAGCGGGAATCGAACCTGGGTGGCCAGGTTCATAGCGCAGCGCGCTAACCGCTACACTATCGCTCCCCACAACACACAGACACACACAGACACACACAGACACACACACAGACACCTCGTCACACACACAGACACACACACACAGACACACACAGACACACACACAGACACACACAGACACACACACAGACACACACAGAGACACCTCGTCACACACACAGACACACACACACAGACACACACACAGACACCTCGTCACACACACACACAGACACACACACAGACACACACACAGACACACACACACACAGACACACACACACATACACACACTAACACACACAGACAACAACAACAACAACCGCCATTCGCCACTAAGTGGCGGTGACGTCACCACGACGCTTGTGCCAGGCTATGTGCACCCTGAGGCCACGTGAAGTGTCGAACGCCCGCTGGCAGGAGGTCACGGGGCAGACCCAGGTGCCACGGGTCGACTGACTGACACACACCTCGTCACACACACACAGACACACCTCGTCACACACACACACAGAGACACACCTCGTCACACACAGACACACCTCGTCACACACACACACCTCGTCACACACACACACAGACACACCTCGTCACACACAGACACACCTCGTCACACACACACACAGACACACACAGTCACACACACAGACACACACACAGACACACCTCGTCACACACACAGACACACCTCGTCACACACAAACCTCGTCACACACAGACACACCTCGTCACACACACAGACACACCTCATCACACACACAGACACACCTCGTCACACACACACAGACACACCTCGTCACACACACACAGACACACCTCGTCACACACACACACACCTCGTTACACACAGACACACCTCGTCACACACACACACACAGACACACACACAGACACACCTCGACATATGCACACAGACACACCTCGTCACACACAGACAGACAGTGAGTGTATGAGTGTGTGAGTTAGTGAGTGTATGAGTGTATGAGTGTGTGAGTGTATGAGTGTGTGAGTTAGTGAGTGTATGAGCGTGTGTGTGAGTGAGTGAATGTGTGTGAGTGAGTGTATGAGTGTGTGTGTGAGTGAGTTAGTGAGTGTGTGTGTGAGTGAGTTAGTGAGTGTGTGAGTGAGTGTGTGAGTGAGTTAGTGAGTGTGTGAGTGAGTGTGTGAGTGAGTGAGTGTGTGAGTGAGTGAGTGTGTGAGTGAGTGTATGAGTGAGTGTATGAGTGTGTGTGTGAGTGAGTGAATGAGTGTGTGTATGGCACAAGTGTCGTCGTGACGTTACCGCACGTAGTGGCGAATGGCGGTTGTTGTGAATGAGTGAGTGTGTGAGTGAGTGTATGAGTGAGTGTATGAGTGTGTGTGTGAGTGTATGAGTGTGTGTGTGAGTGTGCATGAGTGAGTGTATGAGTGTGTGTGTGAGTATGAGTGTGTGTGTGAGTGTATGAGTGTGTGTGTGTGTGAGTGTAAGAGTGTGTGTATGAGTGTGTGTGTGAGTGTGTGTGAGTGTATGAGTGTATGAGTGTGTGTGTGAGTGTATGAGTGTATGAGTGTGTGTGTGAGTGTATGAGTGTGTGAGTGTGTGTGGCCAGGAATGTGATGCCTGTGTGTGGCCCATAAACATTCAACATTCTAACCAGCGGGCAGCACAGAAGCGCGCGTGTGTGTACGTGTGTGTATGCGTGTGTGTACGTGTGTGTGTACGTGTGTGTACGTGTGTGTGTACGTGTGTGTGTATGTGTGTGTGTGCGTGTGTGCGTGTGTGTACGTGCGTGTGTGTGTGTGCGTGTGTGTACGTGCGTGTGTGTACGTGCGTGTGTGTGTGTCCGTGTGTGTGTGTGCGTGTGTGTGTGTGCGTGTGTGTACGTGCGTGTGTGTATGTGCGGGTTCGCGTGTGTGCGTGTGTGCGTGTGTGTGTGTCTGCGTGTGTGTGTGTGTGCGTGTGTGTACGTGCGTGTGTACATGTGTGTGTGTACGTGTGTGCGTGTGTGTGCGTGTACGTGCGTGTGTACGTGCGTGTGTGTACGTGCATGTGTACATGTGTGCGTGTGTGTGTGCGTGTACGTGCGTGTGTGTACGTGCGTGTGTGTACGTGCGTGCGAGTGTGTGCGTGTTCGTGCGTGTGTACGTGCGTGTTCGTGCGTGCGTGTGTACGTGCGTGTGTGTGTGTACGTGTGCGTGTTCGTGCGTGCGTGTGTACGTGCGTGTGTGTGTGTACGTGTGTGTGTGCGTGTGCGTACGTGTGTGTGTGTACGTACTTGTGTGTGTGTACGTACGTGTGTGTGTGTACGTGTGTGTGTGTACGTGTGTGTGTGTACGTGTGTGTGTGCGTACGTGTGTGTGTGTACGTGTGTGTGTGCGTACGTGTGTGTACGTGTCTGTGTGTACGTGTGTGTGTGTGTGCGTACGTGTGTGTGTGTACGTACTTGTGTGTGTGTGTACGTACGTGTGTGTGTGTACGTACGTGTGTGTGTGTACGTGTGTGTGTGTGTGTGTACGTGCGTGTTGGGTCAGCTTAAGTGATCATTGCCATGTGCTCACCCCCCCCTCACACCCCCCTCACCCTCCTCCTCACCCCCCCCCCTCCTCACCCTCCTCCTCACCCCCCCCTCGTCACCCTCCTCCTCACCCTCCTCCTCGTCACCCTCCTCCTCGTCACCCTCCTCCTCGTCACCCCTACACTCCGCGTGCCACATTCCACCTTGGGGTGTTGGCACAGTGCACATCTGGGTGTGATGTCTCACCACACCGTTACCACACTCACCACCGTTACCGTACTCACCACACAGTTACCGCACTCACCACACAGTTACCACACTCACCACACTCACCACACCATTACCACACTCACCGCACTCACCACACCATTACCGCACTCACCGCACTCACCACACAGTTACCACACTCACCGCACAGTTACCACACTCACCACACAGTTACCACACTCACCGCACCGTTACCACACTCACGTCACTCACCACACCGTTACCGCACTCACCAAACCATTACCACACTCACCACACAGTTACCACACTCACCACACAGTTACCACACTCACCACACAGTTACCACACTCACCACACTCACTGCACCGTTACCACACTCACCAAACCATTACCACACTCACCACACTCACCGCACCATTGCCATACTCACCACACTCACCACATTCACCACACCGTTACCACACTCACCGCACTCACCACACCGTTACCGCACTCACCACACCGTTACCACACTCACCACACCATTACCACACTCACCACATTCACCACACCGTTACCACACTCACCATACCGTTACCACACTCACCACATTCACCACACCGTTACCACGCTCACCGCACTCACCACACCATTACCGCACTCATCACACCATTACCACACTCACCACACTCACCGCACCGTTACCATACTCACCGCACTCACCGCACCGTTACCACACTCACCACACCGTTACCACACTCACCACACTCACCGCACCGTTACCACACTCACCGCACTCACCACATTCACCACACTCACCACATTCACCACACTCACCGCACCGTTACCATACTCACCACACTCACCACACTTACCGCACCGTTACCACACTCACCACACCGTTACCACACTCACCACACTCACCACACCGTTACCACGCTCACCACACCGTTACCACATTCACCACACTCACCGCACTCACCACACCGTTAGCATACTCACCACACTCGCCTCACCATTACCACACTCATCCCTTGCCTCTGTCTCTCTCCCTGTCTCTCTCCCTGTCTCTCTCCTTGTCTCTCTGTCTCTCTCCCTGTCTCTCTGTCTCTCTCCTTGTCTCTCTGTCTCTCTCCCTGTCTCTCTGTCTCTCTGCCTGTCTCTCTGTCTCTCTCCCTGTCTCTCTGTTTCTCCCTCGTCTCTCTGTCTCTCTCCCTGTCTCTCTGTCTCTCTCCCTGTCTCCCTGTCTCTCTCCCTGTCTCTCTGTCTCTCTCCCTGTCTCTCTCCCTGTCTCTCCCTCGTCTCTCTGTCTCTCTCCCTGTCTCTCTGCCTGTCTCTCTGTCTCTCTCCCTGTCTCTCTGTCTCTCTCCCTGTCTCCCTGTCTCTCTCCCTGTCTCTCTGTCTCTCTCCCTGTCTCTCCCTTGTCTCTCTGTCTCTCTCCCTGTCTCTCTCCCTCGTCTCTCTGTCTCTCTCCCTGTCTCTCTGTCTCTCTCCCTGTCTCTCTGACTCTCTCCTTGTCTCTCTGTCTCTCTCCCTGTCTCTCTGTCTCTCTCACTGTCTCCCTGTCTTTCTCCCTCGTCTCTCTGTCTCTCTCCCTCGTCTCTCTGTCTCTCTCCCTCGTCTCTCTATCTCTCTCCCTGTCTCTCTGTCTCTCTCCCTGTCTCTCTGTCTCTCTCCCTGTCTCTCTCCTCGTCTCCCTGTCTCTCCCTCGTCTCTCTGTCTCTCTCCTCGTCTCCCTGTCTCTCTCCCTGTCTCTCTGTCTCTCCCTGTCTCCCTGTCTCTCTGTCTCTCTCCCTGTCTCCCTGTCTCTCTGTCTCTCTCACTGTCTCTCTCACTGTCTCCCTGTC